GAGGAAGAATGTCCCGAAATCTCTGTCCTTGGTTAAACGAATGATGTTGCCACTTTATTTGGGGAATGATTAGGTTTAAGGGGTAAAATCAGGAGTTTATTTTCAACCAGAGATGTTAGTCTGCTGTTGCATAGACCAGCTTGGAGTTCATGGGGGTACTGTGGAAAACAATAAGCGAAGTAATCCCTTGTGGATAGAAAAATCCCAGTTCTCCCTACTTATTAACATTTATTCACTCAGCAAATATTTACTGAGTACCTACTGTGTGTCAGGCCCTGTGCCAGGTGCTGTGAATACAGCATAGATTTGCACAGAAACAGAAACTATCTTCATTACAGCTTAATTAGTTCACTGGTTTCTGAGACACTTCTCTGAATATTGTGTAAATATATAGAATCAACTCTCAAGAGTTATAAATACTGAGATGTTTTCTGACTCAGCAATTTGGAAGAGCTCAGATTCTCGGAAAGAAAGGAGCTATATATAGATTTGGACAAATGACAGATTTACCTAATAAAATATTTGAAGACTGCCTTAAAATGAATCAGAAGAGACTGCCTCAACCAAATTAACGTTTATGAAGAGTCAACTTGGTGTAATGGAAAAGCTTACAGGGCTGGAAGGCAGAAGCTCTGGGCCTGTCTGTTCTGCCCAACTAGGTCACAGGTGTGACCTTGACTGAGTCCTTCATCATCTTGCTTCAGTTTTCACTTCAATAAAATGAATCCACTGAAGGCAATATTTTCCAAAGCGCTTCCAAACTACTAATTTTTTTCTTTGCATTATCTTTTCCTGGACTCTTATTCCTCTTTCTAACATTTATTTAAAAATATAACCCCAAACTCCAAGGTGATTCTTCTTTCTTTTGAGGGTCCATTTTTTGAAGCAAAGTATTTTCTTTTTGCAAATGAAACTTGTTTTTTTTCCTGACTGTAAAATGATACATGTTCAGAGGGCTTCCCTGGTGGCGCAGTGCTTGAGAGTCCGCCTGCCGATGCAGGAGACGCGGGTTCGTGCCCCGTTTCGGGAGGATCCCACATGCCGCGGAGCGGCTGGGCCCGTGAGCCATGGCCACTGAGCCTGCGCGTCCGGAGCCTGTGCTCCGCAAATGGGAGAGGCCACAACAGTGAGAGGCCCGCATAACGCAAGAAAAAAAAAAAAAAAAATGATACATGTTCAGAAAAGCACAAAGAGAATAAAAAGTCCCTACAATGATACCATGGAGGTAACTATGTCTGTTTCCACCATCAGTGCCTCTGCAACAGGTATCATATAGCAGGTGCTTAATAAATATTTGTTGAATGAATGACTACTGTTAGTATCTTGTGAAAACATCCTTTTTAGTCTTCAGAGGAAAAAAAGAATCCTTTCTCTGGGGTTGTTTAGCCTCTGAAGAGGCTATATTTATAGTCACCAGAGACTGAAACTTGCTGGGACTGTATCGAATCTCTGAGATTACACATTTCACAACAGCTGATGTCTGATATCTATGGAATGTAGGGAAACAATAACACTAAATACACCACTCTGATGGCCATAAACAATATCAAGCGTGGCTCGGTTTGAGCAATATCAAGAAAGGCTGCGAAACAGTTTAACCAGGAGTGGCTCTGGTATCAGCTGCCCCACAAGTCCTTCCTCCCACGCTTGGGCCCTCTTCCTTCCCTACAGAACCAAGATGAGTTTTTTGGGGGCACTTGAGTTCAACTCAACAATATTTATTGAGAATCTAGCATTCTTTTGATTATTAACTCCCTTCTCAGTAAACCAAGATGGTCTTCTGATTGCCTCTGGAAATGAATGGAAGCCAGATCCTGTCTGCAGACACATGCTGTATCTTTTTCTCTCAGATGGAATTCGTGGCTAATGTTGAAACTGCGACACTGGACATGTGAATCTGAGTTTTCAGATCTCTTGAAAAATCGCTGGATTTGGCACCCATGGGCCCTCATCACCTGGAGCAATCAGCTGGAAGTGAGGGGCAGCCTCCCACCTGACACAGGGGGTGTGTTCTTCAGCTCCCTGTGGTCCCACCTGCCGCTACTGTGCTACATCCTGCCTCCTGGGCTCATTCACCCAACTTGCCACCTCTAACAGACTACGGGAAGCATTCAGGGATAACCCACTGAGCACCAGGCACTGTGCAAGTCTCTTGGAATACGTAAACGCAACACAGCTACTACCCTGGAGGAGCTCGTGTATAAACTAGTTAATTACAGTGCAGTGAGCTAAATGCAGCACAGAAGGCATGACCATGGCACAGCATGGGGACTCTGCCCTGAGAAACTGGTTGGAGGTTCTCTGAAGGTCACTCAGCTGGATTTTGAAGGATGAATATGAGTGATTCAGGCAGGTGGTTGGTGGGGAATATTGCAAACAGTGGGGGTGGAATGGAGAGCATTTATAAGATCTTCTGCCGAATTGCTGCCTGTTGCACAGGGGAAACTCTCAAGCCAGCAACTACCTTTCCCCTGATTGATGCTGGTCTGTCTACAACCCTCTGCCCAGGTCCTCCCATATCTTCCTTCTGTCAAAACACCAGAGAAGGTTACCTCTACCAGGAAGAGCCTGCCTGACTAATCCCCATTCATTTCCAGTTACTTCAACTAAGGCAACACTCCCATTCTGGGAAAACTGGCTATCTGAGGGTGATTCTGTTATTTTAGCTCTTTGTTTTGTTTTGGAACCTCTGACATTTGAAGAATAGACCAGCATTCCAAGTAACTGATAAGTAAGTGTTTATCGAACACCTATGTATTTGATTGGAACGCTTTCTGTCATATATATCATTTTTGGCTCCAACAACGACCCAGCTGAGAAAGAAGACAAACACAAACTGAAAACAGACTGCAATTCAGAAAACATTTATTAAATGCCTGATATTCACAATTTTTTAAATCCCTTCATCCAGCCAACATTTACTGAGCACTAATAGGGCCAGGCAGTGAGCTTGACACTTAGAAATGGAGATGCACTGAAATATACAAGCTAGCAGAGACATGGATAAATAAACCCCTTACAGTAATTTTCCTGCCAGAGCAACGTTCAAAGTACAGCAACAACTTCAAGAAAGAAGTGTCGACTGCTCCCATGAATACTAGGCAGGTATCATGGAGAAGATAAGCTCCAGCTGCTTATCTTATTGACTTTGTATCATGACATTTTACAACGTACACAAAAATATAGAGAGGAGTACAACGAATCTCCATGTACCCATGACCCGGCTTTAAAAGTAGTAACTCATAGCCACTTTTTTATTATTATTATTTTAACATCTTTACTGGAGTATAATTGCTTTACAATGGTGTGTTAGTTTCTGCTTTATAACAAAGTGAATCAGTTATACATATACATATGTTCCCATATCTCTTCCCTCTTGCTTCTCCCTCCCTCCCACCCTCCCTATTGCACCCCTCTAGGTGGTCACAAAGCACCGAGCTGATCTCCCTGTGCTATGCGGCTGCTGCCCACTAGCTATCTATTTTACATTTGGTAGTGTATATATGTCCATGACACTCTCTCACTTTGTCATAGCCACTTTTGATTCATTTATACCTCCACCCACTTCACTCCATCCCTTTGTTTTGTTTGGAAGCCAATCCTAGACGTTTCAATCATTTCATCCATAATACTGAACTGGAAATGTCTGGACTTTCTGCTAGTAACATCCTTCTCCCAATCTATTCTTTTGCCAGTGACTACTCCACCAGAGTTATATACCCTGATTCCCACCAGTAACCCCAAATCCTTGACTGGTTCAGGGTAAAGATCCAAGACTTTATTGGAGCTTCTGAGTTGACAGAAGGAAAAGCCTGAGCTGATACAGTGAAAACCCCATCCTGCCTTATCTGGAATACTGAACATATTCTTCTGGTCCTTGGCCTTTGTAAAACTGCTAATTTCTTATAAGCTTGTTGAGCCCCTAATGCGTGGACAAAACGGGGGCTACATTCCACATTCCCATGTGCCCTTAGCAACCTTCCCAGAAACCTCAGACAGTATGGAGCTTGCTCTGCATGCCAAGCTGCCCCAGATTTGCTTCCTGTCACCACCTTGATCTTCACTGGGTGGGGAGCCTGGTCACATCTGAACATCTGGCCTCTCTACCTTCCACCCCTTCAGCGTTTCTCTCTCTCTCTGAAATGTACCAACATCATGCAATTAGTTACTCAACCCAGAACATTATCCTGGACTCCCTCTCCCTTCTAATTCTGCCTATTCTTTTACAGCCATCCACTACTGTCCACCTCCATCATCACCCTTCCATCCAGGCCACTATTCCCTTCACTCAAGTACGGCAATATTTAAGCACTTTCCTGCCTTTGCCCCCCCCCCCACCGATTCTCCACGCAGCAGCTGAGTGAGCTTCGTGAAATGACCTGCTAAAAACCCTCTCATGGTTCCTAACACCTACGGGATCAAGACCAACTTCCTTATCACTGCTAAGGAGGCCCTGCTTCTGCTCCATCTCCTCCCTGGCCGGCAACCCAAACGCTCTTTTCAGGGCCTGGTTTCTCGGGTCTCTGTGCTCTTACCTGGGAAGCGCCTTTTCTCTCGTAAATGGTGAACGCTACAACTACTGCGCCCTCGCTTACATGCGTTATCTCACATGAATCCGCAACAACACTAAGATATCATCTTCATTTTGCAGACGGACAAATTAAGGATGGGCACCTTACCCATGGTAACACAGCTAGTGAGTGGAAGAGCCGAGACTCGGATTCAGACTCACGGCGCCAGAGGCCACGGGGTTAACCACCGAGTGCCAGCCTGCCCGCACACCCCTCCATCGCTGCAGCGATCGCTCTCAGCGGCGGACCGCGCCCGGCAGCGCCCGTTCGGGGACCAGCAGCTCAGCAATAGGAACGAGGCTTCGGATTGGCAGCCTCCGGCGACGCCGGGGGAGAGGGAGGGCACAAAGGCGCAGGGGCGTCGCGCAGAAATGACGCAACACCGCGGCTCCTTAAAGGCGCCGGACTCTCGAGCGTCGCACGGCGCAGGCGCGTTCCGGAGGCTCCCGATTTTGCTCGCATCGCTGAGAGCCGGCCCGGGCAGACGGGCGCGAGCTGGACGCGGGCGGTTCGAGGGGTCCGTTTGGGCGGCGTCCGGAGCCCGACCGGCGGGCAGAGGAGCGGGCGCCGCGATGGCCGAGGGCAGCGCCGTGTCAGACCCTCAGCACGCCACGCGCCTACTGCGAGCGCTCAGTTCTTTCCGCGAGGAGTCCCGCTTCTGCGACGCGCACCTGGTCCTCGACGGGGAGGAGATACCGGTGCAGAAGAACATCCTGGCGGCTGCCAGCCCGTACATCAGGTGAAGAGGGGGCCGGGCGGGGCCGCGCTGCCCGGAGCCCGGGGGCGGGGCGAGCCGGGAGTGTCCCTGGAGCCCCTGGTCCCCACCCCCCAGCTGCCGGGGTCCCTCTGGTCACCGCTTAGCGCGGTGTCCCTCCCGGCAGACACCCCGGCCGGGCCCCACTCGTTGCCTCCCCGCAGGACAGCTCCTATGGCTTCGGCCGGGCCGGGCCCGTGCCCCCCACAGGACCCCACTCCCCCTGGAGTTGACCCCGGACCTCAGTCCCCCCGCCCTCCCTCCTCGAGTTCCCACCGCCCGGCGCTGGCCGGGGCCTCAGAACCCCGGAAGCCCCCAGACGCCGTCCTGGGCCGGACCCGGCCCCGCGACCGCGAGCAGGGCTTGAGCGGCTACCGGGAAGAGCTGCCTCCTCGCCCCGGCCCAGCCCGCGGATGCCGGGTGAAGTTTGCCGGCCGTTCGCCTCCAAATCGACACATAGTGGGCCGGGCCCAGCGCCGCGAAAGCGGCCAGGGAGCGTCCCTCCCGCGGAGAAGCCAAACAAATACCTCCTCTCCAGGTGTTGGCAGAGGGAAAACCCTGTCGGATCTTTTTCTTAGGATGGACGATCCGACACCCCCTCCCCCCAGCCCCAAGTTCTTCGCAAAAGTGACTTTACACCCTTTGTGGGAACTCCTTTTAAAAAGAAGGGTAGTGCGTTATAGACGTTAAAGTAAGCTGTAGCACATTTTAAAAGACTTACTGTAATTCTCAGGATGCTGTTACAGCCCGAGGACCATGAGATTTTAGCGACTTACAGAAAGCATTTTAAAACAAAGCTTAACCTGGTTTGCCAGCTCAGCTAACGAGGTGAATTAAAGGTTGATAGGACAGTGCTCATACAAGTGTGTCACATCTTGAGAGGGCTGTTATGTTACAGCAACTTTCTTGCAAACTGGGTTACTCTTTCAATAAAAGAAAAAAAAATGCTAGAAGCTGGAGAAACTGCCTAGTAAGCTAGTTAAATATAGACTAATAGTAGAGAATGTCACTAGAATTGACAGGTCAGAAAAGGCAAAATGATGTGCGCTGCATTCTTAGTGCATTGTCCTAGCAGAACTCGGCACACAAACTGCATTTTAACCTTTGCATTGGCAGACATTTGTGCTAAGTCAGAAGCAGTTCAAGTGCTCTGGTAACTTCTGGCTCCTCCTGGCTCTCTTTCTTAAATCCACTTGCACTCTTTCTTTGTGGATTTAAAGGTGGGGTTGGGGTGAGTTGTCATTAGTGTGGATTTAGATTTCCAACATGACAGATATCTCATAGCTGGCAGTTCAGAGCTTTGAGCAGTCAGTATAAAATTGGCATCAGCAAGCCAGCATCTTCCCTGTATCCAAAGTATTCCCTGTTTGGGGAAATGGTTAGGAAAACTGCTTTAGATGTATTAGTGTAGTTCTGTAAGTGACATCCAGCTGGCTTAAAAGAAAATTGCAAATCACCAAATACATGCTCTCTATTCCCTTTCCGTGGTTCATTTTTCTCCATAGCACTTGCCACTATAATGTACCCTATATTTTATTCATTTACTCTGTGGATCTTCCCCACCTGCAGTGTAAGCTCCAAGAGGCCAGGGACTTTCCTTTCGTTCATTACCGTATCCCTGGCACACAGAAAGACCAATGCCTAGTGGTTAGCAGATGGGTTGAAGCAGGGACTGCCTTCCTTTATGCCACAGAAGATTGGACATGAGAGGACCGGCCCTGGTGCGTTTCCATTTCAGATGCTCAGTTGTCCCTGATTGAGAAGAGCCCTGCACCTGCTTTCTGCTCCCAGCTTTCACTCTTCTGCGAGTTGTCCGTAGATGACTTCATCTTGGCTTCAGCTCACTAGTCTGATAAATGAGGGATAAAATGCGTCTTCATCTCATTTAATCTTTGACCCACACTGTGAAGAAGTAGGTAATAGTGCTTTGAGGCGCTCACAGGTCTGCACACAGGTTTCCAAAGGTAGTGGTATCACTGCTATATCTGCTGAATTAGGGAAGGTGGGGCATCCGCTTGTGACATGGTGGCACATATGAGAATATTTAGTAATGTGAAATGTTATTTAGACTAGCAGTATTTTTTTCTCTATTTTTAGTTTTTTTTAAGATTTATTATTTATTTATTTATTTTATTCTTGGCTGCGTTGGGTCTTAATTGTGGCACGCGGGATCTTTGTTGAGTTACGCAGGATCTTTCATTGTGGCACGTGGGATCTTTCGTTGCGGCGTGGGCTCTTCGTTGCGGTGCACGGGCTTCTCTCTAGTTGTGGCCTGCGGGTTCTTCTCTCTCCAGTGGCGCGCAGCCTCCAGGGCGCGTGGGCTCTCTAGTTGAGACGCGCGAACTCAGTAGTTGTGGCGCGCGGGCTTGGTTGCCCTGCGGCATGTGGGATCTTAGTTCCCCCGACCAGGGCTCGAACCCACGTCCCCTGCATTGTAAGGCGGATTCTTTACCTCTGGACCACCAGGGAAGTCCCGCTAGCAGTAATTTAGATGTGAAATATTACTAATCGTAGTAGCAGAGCCAAAAGGGACTTCAGACCCCTCTAATCCAATTCTGTTACTTTCCAGGTAAAGAAGTGGTGCTCGGTGGGCATTAGTGATCTGTATTACAGTGAGGTTATTAGCACTTAATGGTTGAACTAGGATTAGACTCCAGGTTAATGACACCTAGTCTCCTACTCGTTTACCATACCAAGCTACAGCATTACTCAATGTAACTATTCTTTGCGAGTCAGTAAGCGGTAGAGTTTACGCAATGTGTTATGATTTACATGCTTACTAAGTACTTTCACATGCTGTCTCACTTTGATTTTCATTTTCAACCATCTTGTACAGTAGGCAGGGCAGATATTTTTGACATTTTACAGATAAATATGAGTTAGTATGTGTTTTTCAGTGACTGATTGCTGTAACTTTGACTGTTGAAGTGGTGTATTTGTTCTTGGGCTTCTTTTAAAATTACCAATCTCAAGGCTACTTGAAAGTAATACGACTAATTTCTGTTACTGCTTAGAAACAAACTTTAAGTTTCGATGCCAATGATGTTGGGCTTTTATAACATCTTTGTTTTGTTTGAATGGAACTTAAAGAATTCTATTGAAACAATGAGTTTGTATGTTCTAGAGCTTGATGTTTCTCACTTTCCCTTCTGAAGCTTAAGCATTTAGGTCTGTGATATCATTAATATAGGGATTGGGAGTTCAAAAGTTTGGTAGTCTCTGAAGTTTTATAAAAATCTGAGTTTTGTTTAATGTCTTCAGTTAGCCTGGTTTTAGTAACTGTCATAGGGGTCTGAAGTTGTGCAGTTTAGAAACAATGTTATATATTGCTTCTGTATCATCAACCAAGGGAACCAAGCCAACACTGTTGCAGTAGGAATTAAAGCAGCTCAATTGGCATACTTTCTACTAAATATAGAAGTCTTTTAGCCTTACTGGTTTACTCTTTTCCTGTGCTTTATCTTTGGTTTAACATTTGTTTTTCCTCCGGGTCGTCTTAGCAATCATACTGCCTTAGAAACACTTTCAGTATAAAAGGAAAAAGCCAGAAAAAACCCAAGTTCGGCCACAAAACCCCAGTGATAACCTGAAAGAAGATTGTGTAGGTTATGTGTCACGCAGCCTGAGATGCAAATGCTGCAGGGAGGACAGGCAGGAGCTTCCATAGTTCATCACTCACCCCAGTAAGTGGGATGCTACTTTCCCAGCATGCCCTCTGCCCAGCATTTTCTCATGATCCTGAATGACATTTTTCGTTTGGTTTGTTGGGAAAACAAAATCTAAATGTAGCTGATGACCTTTAAGAATGATGACATTGAATTCATAGCTATAACAACGACCCACAGCAACCCTTTCCTTTCTCAGCAGCCCTGAGACCTTCTGGGAAAGGTTCCCTGAGGCTTATAGGAAATTTCCTTTCCTCTTGAATATTGCAAAGTTTGCTTTGCTTCATGTCTGAGGCTCTTCTCATTCTGGCACAATTCCCTTGATCTGATGTGGAGTTCAGACTCCTCTCTTTCGTGAGCTGTGGTTCTTCGGGGGTAATGTATGTGAAAGGATTTGGCAATGAATTGCCGTGTGATTCTGCAGTGGCATTAGAGTGGCTCTGTACAGGTTCCAGTCCCGTATCCACTTTTGGGAATTTTGGTTTTTCTAGGGAATCTGTTGGAACATGAGTTTGTTTAGCTTTTAGTCCTGGAGAGTAAAGGAAAGAAAGATTCCCAGGATTTGGGGATCCTTTGATGAGTTAGCCAACAATAAGAATGGCAGTTTTTGTCCCTGTTTTTTGAGAGAAAGCTGGTCTAGTGAGGGTGGAGTGGAGGCATTGGGCCTAGAATCCAGCCTGGATCATCCTGGGCAACTTTTCTGGGCCCTAGTCTTCTCATCTGTGAAGTGAGATTGATTGGGCTCCGTGCTGTTTTCGGTCCGCTTGGTGTGTCTGTGTTGTGGGGAGGGAGTCTGTCTCTGTTCTTACAGCTTTACTGTATCATGTAAAGTTTTGTTGCATATTGATGTTAAAGCCTTTCCTTTGCCCTGTCACACAGGACTTGGTTGGGTATTCTATATAAATCCAGCCCTGTAGAGTTGTTTTGTAACAAGCATTTATTTTATGCTGTTAATCTGGATGCTTTCCAAGGCCTAATTATTGATGAGCCTGTTTTGCCATTTAAATCTAAAATTTGACTCATAGATGATGCTGATGAAACTTCTTAAGGAGACTAATATGATCTCTGTAGCAGTCCAAGTTTCATGGTGATGCAGAAATTGTTATCATCCTTTCTTTGGGTACTTGAAATCTGCCCTGTATTTTATGAGCAGTAAAGTCCACTAGTCCTGTCTGCTATGTGCAGAGCAAGCTGTCAGCCCCCAAGTCCCTTTTCTTTCACTTGTGCTCTGAGTTCATAGTCACCTGTGTATATAGCAGCTCATGAATGATTGTCATAAGGGTTTTGTATAGCTATTGTAACCTGTTACGTTTCGTAGTT